ACTTTCTATGTTAAGTTGAGCTATCGCGATTCGTTTTATTTCCGGAAAAGGTAACTTATATTTACATTTTATATCATTCTTTTAACTTTAACTTTAATCTATCTTTAGCCCTCCGCGTACTTTGGCGGAGAAATTTACGCAGAAAGTGTAAACGTTCGTCGGTTGTGTCACTTTACACAAGAGACGGGGGAAAAATTTGGGTAAGGATCCGTAGTTCCTCCGGATCAATGATCCTCCTCACCGCGTTCGATAAATGTCGGGTGGGCCCCTCGGTTTACCCTCAACCCCCCCCCATTCCCCCCGACAGGCGCACGAACGAGTTTCCCGGTGGTGCCTTTTCCGTCCTTGTACTTTTGACCCTGGGAGGAGGTAGTTCGATTCGGTCGAGGTGTTGAGATATAAGTTCCACGCGAGGGAATTGTTAGGAGTCATCATACACAAGTTAACCTAATTCTAACTCGCAATTTAAATGCAATTGTTGTGTTTAGAAAGGAGTCTAAATCTAGTCGCAATTGTCACCATCATAAAGTAAATCCCCCCGACGCTGCTAATTTAAGCACAGCACTGCTTAATTTAGCGCTATATGCATACGCGCTATAAAAGTGAGCGTCCCTGCCGTTGTAACAATGAATGAATAATAATTAGAAATAAAAAAAAAAATCCTGCACACTATTAATTCATCCGTTTTAATTTTGAAAGTTTAATTCAGTACGAATCGTTTAATAACAACGACGAACGAATGTTTTCGCGATTTTGAACGCGGCCGAAAAAAAAGAAGTACAGTTCCGCATTTGAACTTCACCACTGTTCGTTTTGTGGTTAGTGTTAAGTTTTAGAGGGTTTAGTTGGCCTTGGGGCACTATTTTCCATTTTTTGTGACTTATTCAGCCAAAGTACACGAAAGAGGTCAAGCCGCGCGGAACGATTTGGCTAGCGTCGAAGTTGAACGAACGAGAACTATTAGTTCTAGGTCCTGCAAAGGCGACTAATTTTTAGGAAGTAGGCCAATTTAATTATCAACCTTTTTTATGGTCAACACATATCGTATTTTTCAGTTTTCCTTTCCTCACCCAAAAACGCCGTTTTTTTAAACGGTTTTTATATAGCGTCCGCCCGGCTTTTTTTATTAGCGTGTACAACAAGTCCAAAAAGGTATAGCACGTCCGGGATCCGTAGTAAATGGAAATCATCAACATCAAGGGGAGACTATCTTGTCAAAAGAAACGCATCCGCTACCGGGAGGAACGGCCGGCGGTGGTCTGTCAGAGGTTTCAAAATAGTGGACCGTACGACGCCTCTACAAAAGTCTCCGGACACTTTCCTTGTTTGCCTCAATAAAAGTGTGTCGGGAAGTTTTGGGATCTTGTTTTTTTTAATAAATAATAATATAATAATACTAAATAATAATAATCCGTCTTCTTGACGTTTTTTGTTTTACGTTCTTATAAACGGACTTTAGTAAAAGTTTTTTGTTGAATTATTTTATAAAATTCTTTTACATTAAAGGAGACAAATCAGTTGGAATTTCGGAGAGTTGAAACTAAGCTAATAAACTGTATTTTGTTACCAAAATTTTTGCATAAAATGACAACGTTTGCCTTTAATTTTTGATGAATTGCTGAAATTTTGCACAAAATGTTAGAAAAATAACAAAATCTGCTGCATCGCAATAAGAAACTTCTGTTGAATTTCCTAAGAATAGTATTTTCACGTCGGAAGGAAGTTTTTGTCTTAGTACAGATATATATATACAACAGAAATTTATAGAATATAACATAAGAACACACAATGGTCGGCTCACGCGGCAGACCTACTCACTTACATTCTTAATTTTCGTAATTTTATTGCTAAAAAGAATAACCAGAATATAACATAATAAGACATAACAAAAAAAACACATAGAAGGGAAAGAGTTCTTTAATTGTAAAACTACCGGCATAACTAAATTCCCGAACTGCTATTCTTCGCCTTCCATTCGTAGGTCAACCTTTGATTTATGTAAAAGTTTGTTTAGCTAAAAAGTTTGGTCGCAGTTCCTTTGACAGGGAGTCGATGGAGTTCCGATTACATATGTCACAAACTCCAGTCGGATGGACACGGTAACCCGCTACCGGGGGGAAGAGTCACTTGTCCACAACAGCAACTACAACTCCTACGCGTCCAACCCCAAAAGAGGTGCCGACAGTCGGAGCCGGCACTGCGGAATCGGCCGCAACCTAACTATGGCAAAGACGCCGGTGCAAACTAGAGGAGGTCCGGACCGGGTAGTTCGAACCTTGTTGTCTTCCATCTACGATTCTAATTGAAGGTGGAAGAGTCGTCTAGAAATCGTCATAACAGATTTGTTTATTGTCGTTGGAGCGTTGTTGTCATTACCCGCTAATATCTTCATTCAAGACATGGACCTTGCGAACTTCGCTCTCGGCCACCGGGGGACAAAGAGGTCTGCCAAAAGGAGGGAACGGTGCTTCGCGGAAACGTCCGGCTCCCCCACGGAGACGTGACGCTTCCGACGAGATATCGTGACGGGCTACGTTTTGCGCCGGTTTCGCGGGTTTCTAGACTTCAGGTACGTTTTTTGTCGCGAACACTTGTAAAGACGAAAAGAAAAAGGAATTCCGACCGGATAAATTTTATGTAGTTTTTGGTAGAGGGAGAGACAGTACGTATTGGGTTTTAGGAATAAGTTATGGGTCGTCATTACGTTCTCCGTTTTTTGTTCTGAACGTTACGTATAAATGTTAATGTGTCGCTTTCTTTTTCAACATATGGGACTTGGTGTTTTTTGACAAAAGTGATTCACCTCCAATAATAGATTTACAAATTGAAACCCGTTTCTCTACGGAAGTGATGTTGGTGTTAAGATAAAACAATAAAACCAAAATATTACTGTCGATTGTGTATTTATAATTTGAGGAACTCTTACCGGTTTTGACATATTTCGTTCTGGGTTTGTTTGAGCGCAACCATCGCAATGACAACTGCAAATGGAAAGGGGGAGGCTACGGGTAAACGGGTGTCAAACAACGTCGGCGTTCAGGACGTCCCAACATCGTTCCGGCAACGAGAAGTCGTTCCGGAGAGCTACGGGGAAGTTGGGGCAGCCGCTGGCTTCCGCAACAGTGACTCCAGATTTTGACCAGTCGGCGCCGCAAAGCGGCGTAGTCCCTCGCAGTGGTCTCTTAAGATTGTTAGTGCTCGCCCTCTTTTCCTAATTTTCTGTTTACGTCCATTATCGCCATTCGTTTTCGGACGCGAAGAAATTTTTCCAATTACTAAAAAGTTTCCTCTTTCTGATAGTGGTTCCCCGGCCACCGTAGAGTCTCGCGTCCGCTGGAACACTTTTGTACAGTGAGGCTTATCGGTCGCGACTTTTTTTCCTTGTCACTTTATATTTTTTTTTTGTTTCACCTTCATCCCGACGGCGTGTTAATAAGTTTTTTTGACAATAGGTTTAAGCGCCTATTCTGATTCAAGTTTAAAAAAGTATTAATCGGTCTTTAAGGGGTGTTTTAAACGCAAGTTCAAATTTTTTTTACACAGGTTATTGTTTTTTTACACCTTCATTAACACCGGCTGTTCGTCTCTGTCTGGATGTCAACGGGTTTTTTTTTCATACACTTTTGGAAACCTTTTTTGAAAGGACCTAAAGACGTATTTTAACGGAGTATTTTTACAAAAGAGCTAGAAGTAGATTTCAGTGCTTGTTATCTTTGTTTTTGTTGTCAGAACGTGAATCGATTTTGGTGTGTTTGTTAATATACAAAAGATCACAAACATAACTTGTGTGGTTACGATTTGTAAGTGTCTACGTCGCGCACCTTTTCATACAC